ATCTTGGACTGGTGCCGGGCTCCTGCCGGGCTTTGGCTGCCTGCCTTCGCAGAGGGGAAAGCAGAAGTGCGGTGCGCAGCCGGCAGCGTGGAACTGGAATTCCCCAGGCAGCTGCCAGAGCCCAGACCTCCCTCCACAGCCGCCAAACCCAGCCCTTGGACTCGGCAAAATGCATCCCAGGCTCTTTGGACCTGCCCCAGTTGGAGGCCTGGCTTTGGGCAGTGCCGGATCCAAGCCCCACGTATGCTGTGAGGTCTGAGGGAGGACCCTGCGGTGCTTTTTGGGGACAGGAGGGTCTGTTCCCTGTTCCCTGTGTGGACTGCCCTGGGGAGCCTCAGGCCATGTTCCTGCCTTGCCCTGCTGCTGAGTTTCTCCAGGGAGAGGACAGGATGGAGGAGCTCTGAGCTGGTGGGAAGGGAAGAGGACTGGGGGAGGTGGGGAGGTTATTTCTCCATGCAGCAGTGGAGGATCTCTGCTCCTGAGCATGGCACTCAGGATCTTTTTTTTTTTTTTTTTCCCCCGATTCCCTTTATCCCCTCTGTAGGTTGGTTCACTTGGCCATTATCCACTGTGTCCCAGCTGTGGCACTCTGCTGCATCGCTCAGCTGCCCAGGGAGGTGCTGGAGATCCAAAATGATCTTTTCCAGGTATGCGGATGTGATAGGCAGAAGATGGGAGGAAGGCAGGTGCCGCAGGCTGCTCCCTGGATAGATGCCCAATCCATCTGGCCTTTCCCCAGGACCCCCCACTCACTTCCTCCAGAGCATGTGAAGGTCCCATGTGAGCAGCCCCTTATCAGGGAGGGGAAGAAGGGTGTGGGAGATACCCTGAGAGGGAGGTGTGACAGCTGTTGTCAGGGAAGGGTGAAGAGGTCCTTTATGAGGCCCCAGGACTTCACGGACAGCCCCGGAGGGTGGAGCAGGCACAGCTTGAATGTGGCAGGGTAGATAACCTGGGAGAGTGAGATCTGCCCCCACGGGTGATCCCTGAGCTGAGGCGGGGGTGGGGGGGGAGCAGCAAGCCATTTGCACCCGCCCGCGTCAGCCACACTTAACCCCAGGACAGGGACGGGCTCCTGCGTGGCAGCCTGCCCGTGCCACCGGGCTGGCTCCTGTAGGCTGGCGTGGCTCATCACGCTTGGTGTCCTGTGGGGCATTCTCCCTTTTCCTAATTTCTGTCCCCACCTCCTCTCTAGACCCCGCTCCACCTCGCCGTGTACCTGGAGCAGCCCAGCGTGATCCAGGCGCTGATCCACAAGGGAGTCAACCCCGGGCTGCAGGACCGCAATGGGAACACCCCGCTGCACCTGGCCTGCGAGCAGCAGCACCTGCAGTTCTGCAGGGCACAGCCCCGACGGAGGGCACGGCCCAGCCCCACGGGCACCACCAGGACCTGCAGCTCCAGAACTGGCAAGGTGAGACCTGAGGGCAGCCCGGTGCGGAGCAGGTGGCCGGTTTGGGGCAGAGACCGTGCGTTGTGTATGCAGGGAGCCAGGAGCGCAGCAGAGCGTGCGCGGGGCCAGGGTTGGCGTGCCTCGGGGTGGTCCGGGCTGACTGTGGCTCTCTCTCCTGCCTCCCCATCCCAGGCTTGGCCTGTCTGCACATCAGCACCTTGAAGGGGAACATCCCAATGATGTCTCTGCTGCTGGAGAGCGGCGCCAACATCGATGTTCGGGTAAGGCTGGGCACGGTGTGATGTTTGGGTGAGGCTGGGCACAGTGCATGGCTCCCTTGGCCACTCCCTCCAGCCTTGGGGCAGGCACTGCTGTGGGACTTGAAGGCACTGAATTTTGAGGGAGCAGAGAGAAAAGGTCCTTGAGGGGCCGTTGGGTGCTGTGACAGCAGTCAGGGTGGGGACTGCCCCCTCTGCAGCCTGTCAGGGTGGCGCGGGTGGGTGCTGCAGGGCCCATCTGAGGGGACGCCGCACCCACGCCCTGGTGGTCTGCGGGTTGCAGGAGGGCACGAGCGGGAAGACCCCATTGCACCTGGCCGTGGAGTGCCACAACCGCAGGGCTGTCCAGTTCCTGCTGCGCAACGGGGCCTATGTGGACGCCCAGATGTACAACGGGTGCACCCCGCTCCACCTGGCCGTGGGCCGCAAGGATGCTGCCATCGCCGCCATCCTCTCGCACTCTGGGGCTGACACCCTGCTGAGGAACATGGAGAATGAGACAGCCCAGGACCTGGCTGATGGCAACGACGATGTGAGTCTGTGTGGGGGGGAGGCCTGTGGCTCTCCAAGCCTGTCGGGGGGTGCAGGAGTCGGACCATTTAGGGGGGAGCTCCTAGGAAGAGTTTCTAGCCGTGCCCCTCGTCCCCTACAGGGTGCAGGCGTTGGCTTTGGGGGTGCGTGGGGCGACTGCCTGTTGCCTTGAGCCCTAGGGAAAGCCCAGCCAGGGTTTCTTGGCACTTACCCGGAGAGGTGGGAGGCTGCAGGGCTGGAGGCACAGTTAGAATCATAGAATCATTTAGGTTGGAAAAGACCTTTAAGATCATCCAGTCCAACCATTAACCTAACATTACCAAGTCCAGTTCTGGGCCCCTACCCCAGCCCTGGTGGAGACAGAACCCTGGATCCTTACACCTCTGCACCCTTGGCCTTTGCAGCTCTTCGCCTTGGTGCCCTTTGATGACCTGAAGATCTCGGGGAAGCCTGTTGTGTGCTCTGAATGAGTGGCTGGACTCCTCTGGCCTATCGGGCTGCCTCATCGTTCTCCGCTCTTGCCCTGCTGCCCACTGGGACCTTGCCTGCCTGCAGTTCAGTGGGAGCAGAGCCACTTTGGGAGATGTTATCCCCACCCCCTTCACCCATTGGAAAAGTTTTGTTGGCCTCAGGCTGCCTTCTCAAGAGGGAAGAAGATGGCACTATGAACACTACGCATGAGAGGCTTTTCTTTCAGTGTTTGTGCCCTGCAGCAGGATGGAATTTCCCCTCCCTGCCATGGGTCTGACTTGGGGGGTTCTCCAGCTTCTCTAGGGAAGGAGCAGGGCAGGACTCCTTTTCACATTGTACGGTGGGTGGAGCATCCTCTGGCACCCCCAAATGCCATCAAAAATAAGTGTGGGGTGAGGAGAGTTAACACACACTCCAATAAACATTTGTTCTTGTCGCGGGTGCCTGAGGTCTCATGTGATCTAACCCACCCCGCTCCCCCGCAGCAGTGGGAGGCTGAGCATTACCATGGGTGCCCAGGCACGTGAGGGCTGCAGGGGCTTCCCCAGCCCGCCCGCTCCCTCAGGGCCTGCTCCCTCCATTGCGCAGCAGGCGGCCAGCAGGAGCACGGGGAGTTCCCCGCTTGCAGATCCTTTCCAGTGCTCAAGGCCAAGGCTGGGGGATCCCAGCCTGGCGCCCCATTCCCGTGCAGTCCTGCTGAGTGTCTGGCATCAGGGCTGAGGAGAGAGCATAGGAGGTGCCGGAAGACCAGGTCGTGGATCCCTGCTTCTGCTATGGTGCCTGACATCTCGCTGACTTACTGTGTCACGGGTTCCTCTTCTGCAAAGAGGATAGAAAGATCCTGCCCCATCTCCTGGCTTGGGAGGCTGTTAAAAAACTTAGGGCATGGGTCTTCCCTGGGTTTTAGATTCCCTGAGGCTGAAAGCGGAGCAGACGGCAGGGTTATCTCCACATCCCTTCTGTTGTTCAGCTCACCACCCTTCCCTGTCCCCTCTCCAAGCCAGAGGAGCATGTGTGACGCATTAGGGAACGAGCCGGCGGTGGAAGGTGCTGTGGGACCAGAGACACCAAGCACGCCTGACCCCACCTCAGCCAGGGAAATTCCCCACTTGCTGCATGGGAGCAGCTGCTTTGTTTGGGGCAAATCCCCAGTGGCGCAATCGCCTGAGATGCTCTGGAGTGAGCCGTTGTCTTCCTCCTCCCTTCTTGGAAAGACAGATAGCAAGGGAATGCTGCCAGGAAAGCAGCACGGGCTCCCCCCAGGCCTCTCTGGAGCTTCTGCTCTGGTCGCTTCAGCAGCTGTGGGCTGGATTGCTGTTTTTCTTTCGAATCTTTGCCTCTCACCTTCCGGCAGGGCCTCAACCCTGCTGCAAACAAGTCCTATTCTGCTCATGGGCCTCAGCCAGCACCGGCCAGGAGCAGGTGCGGCCTGTGACTGCTCCGGTGCCACCTTCACGGGGGACGCGTGGCACTCCC